TTCACTTTTCTCATGGATGCATTTAGTGCTATTAACTTCCCTCTCAGCGCTGCTATAGCTGTGTCCCATGAATTTTTATATGTTGTATTTTCATTTTTGTTCAGTTCAATAAATTTTTAAATTTCCCTCGAGACTTTATTTTTGACCTGTGCATTATTTTGAAGTGTGATGTTCAGTTTTTAAGTTTTTCCACCTGGCCTCTGCTGATCAACTGAGAGCAAGGCAATCAGATTGGCTTTTACATCCCCATGATTTAGGTCAATCTATTTTACAGCCCCATTTCCCATTACTGCTTGCATCAGAAACCCTATTTCCAGCTAAATTTAATGTTTCATACCACTCTCTAAAGATTACCTTGGGCCTTCCTGGCTTTGTACTTTTGCTTATATTTAAAATTCTTTGATGATCAAGTTTTCTTTGTATTTTCTGAATAATAGTGCAAAGTTACTTGAAGGCTATACTATGAGAAAACTCATACGAAGTTTTTTAATTTTAGAACCAATTTGTAGTTGACATAGAAATATAATGTGGAGTGATGATTCTGGGGGGAAGATATGGTTTGAAAAGAATGGTTAGATTAGTGTCCAGAGTTTGGTTTCCTAACCTTATAAGCAATCTCTTCCCAAACAATATGGACACTGAGTCCTGAGGATGTACGATGAATATCTACCACCATCTGAATGAATGACTAGTCAATTTGCACTCCTATTCATTTGTTCTGAGAATTTGAGTAAATTTCTCATGTTTTCTGATTTTATTGTGAATAGGGCTAATAATGATTCATTTGCAAAATGCCGAGAGTAAGAAGATCTCATATTGGCAAAGTTTTTTTTTAAAAACATAATAATAGTGTGGCATGAGATTTCATAGAGTATGATTATAGTCTTTAATCTGAGAGAACAAATACATCTAATTGAAGCCTGCTGAATAATGAAGAATAAAAATTCTCTTTTGGAAATCAAAAATACACTCAATGAAAATTATCAGGTAGTAAATTTCATGCAAACAATTCTTTTTTATTATAACCCTTTGAATTTATATTGAACTCCTTTCTAAGTTCAAAGAGTTTAATTAAATTATTTTTACAAAACCCAACATATAATCATCCAGTAAAATCTACTAGGTAGTAAATGAATCATAGAACAATGCTTTTCTTATGCAGCTTTATATATGTGTTTATAATTTCTATGAACTCGTTCATGAAATTTCACCAGTTAAAATGGTATCCATTTCCTGCTGTGATCAGCATTTTGACCTTTTGTGGGATCATTTTATTAATGGAATTCCTGTCCATTCCTAGGTACTGTGGGGAACACTGTGAGCCCCATTACTGGCTTTCCCTTCACTTCATACGTGGGCTGGTCTTGGTAGCGCCCTAGGCAACGGGCCTCACCCTGGGGTCGTTGGACTAACTCCATCCTTGGGAGAACCGTGAAAGTGTAGTTTCCAAGGCTCTACCTCCTAGTCACAGAATCAGAATACGTGTAAGTGTTCCTAAAAGCTGCACGTTTTCCAAGCACCCTAAGTAAGAGCTCATTAACATATATGAATCACTGGTCTGAAAAAAGACAATCTATATTTTCAGGCCTGGAATTCCTCTGTATGTAGCATAATTTGGCTCACCTGCCCATGCCCCTGGGCTATTATTCTAGTTAATATTGCTCTCTGCCTCTTCTGCATTTGGGTGCCATCTCCTATTATGTTTATATCAGCCAGTGGGGACAGAGGTCACCACTTTCCTCTTCATTCTATCAATGGTCATCTTCCTTACCTACTGCCTTGATATCCATGTACTGCTTGGTATAATTAATTATATACTGTCTTATTTTGCATGTGTTCACAGGTTATTTCAGCCTCCTGAGTAGCTGGGACTACGGGCACATGCCACGATGCCTGGCTAATTTTTTGTTTCTATTTCTAGTTGTCTGGCTAATTTTTTCTATTTTTAGTAGAGATGGGGTCTTGTTCTTGTTCAGGCTGCATTTTGTTTTCCTACACAAATGATATTATCTGTGTGTCTGTAAAGGCAGAGGGGTGTGTCTAGATTTAGGCACAATTCTCCGATTCAAGAAGGCGTCTCAAAATGCAAATTCAGTCAGATATTAATAGATGTGACTATGTTCTATTTTTAAAAATAAGTAATTAACATGCATTGTTATCCCACTATTGAACTTGAACTCCTGACCTCAAGCGATCCTCCTGCCTTGGCCTCCAAAGTAGCTGGGACTACAGGCATATGCCACCACGCCTGGCTAATTTTTTCTATTTTTAATAGAGATGGGGTCTCACTCTTGCTCAGGCTGGTCTGGAACTCCTGACCTCAAGCAATCCTCCCTCTTAAGCCTCCCAGAATGCTAGGATTACAGGTGTGAGCCACCGCACCCAGCCTGTTTAAAGGTTCTCAGGTTATTGTTTGTGGTTGTATCACTTGTATATATATTTTGTTTCTCCAACCAGATTTAAACTCCTTGAAGACAGAGAGAATGACTTGTTTCTTTAACATTCTAGACCAGTGCCTTGCTCAGGACTCTGAGGCCAGCAGGTTCACTAAACGCACTCCAACTGGCTGGTTCCACAAACATGTACTGGGTTTCAGAAGAACACTACAGTAATGCAGCGACTCAATATCCATGTGGAGATTGTCTGATGAGATTCATGATAGAGCTTTGGATGCATGGTTCACTTGGCACTTCATGGGGGGACGGGACCTTTTTGGTGGCCTTCTTAGCATCTGTAGGGATTTGTGATTAGTTAAAAATGTTAGTGACCATCAGTGCTTGACAGTCAGGGGAGATGGTTATTCAACATCTGCTCTAATTACAACAAATGCTCCCCCAAGTTTTTCTACATTCCAGGAACCTCAACTTATACTAATTCCAGGAACACCTTAGAACAATAGATGACATTTCACTGCACCAATGAGCATTTCCTAAATCTCAAGAACATTTTGGTTTCTTTTTCTAAAAAAGACCTTTTTAATCTTTTTTTTCCTTTATGAGACTCTGTGTGGGTGCTTGTGTGTATATGTGGGTATGGTGTGTCTACAAGTGTGCAGACACTTCGAAATGTACCTGATTTTTAACCCTACTGAGGAGACAGCATACCCACGAATATGTGCTAATCAGTGCATGGCATTTAGCCACAACTATGAAAATTGAGATCCAGCCCAAGATGTCAGGTTTTATATTTTGTAGTAATCGTCCTTCAGTGATCAGTAAGTTAGGTGTGCTTGGGTTGAAAAATCTGTTTTAACTTAAGGGTTTAAATGAAATTTTGCCAAAGGAAGCCATTACAGCCACCATAAAAAATGCTTCACTGCACTTGCTTATAGAAATGCCCTCTATGCAAAGATGTGCATCTGAAGTTCCTTTTAGAACGTAGACAAGGAAGTACTCTGGTTCCTCTGAGAAACTGGTACACTTAATCCTTTTTGAAAACAGGAACTACATGATAGACAGTGTCTGTCTTTTTGTTTGGTTGCCAAAAAACTTAGAACTAATTTAAAGTGCAGCTATGCCAATTATGTAGAGATTTAACAGCTGCATATCTATGTCCTTTTATCATCTAGTTTTGTCTCTTATTATTTTTCAGATGCCCTCTACCTGAAATCCTTCATGGAAAAATGTGGAATGAATACATTAATAAAATAAATAAGATCAGCTTTGTGACTTAGTAGAGGTGGGGATATTGCATGTCATGGAACCTCAGATATTCACCTGTGAAACAAGCACAGTAACACTTTCCTGCCTACTTCTCAGGGAGGGTGTGAGGATTAATTTAGGCTAAGTCAATTGTAGGGAACTATACAAATGGGATTTTTGTAGGGAAGGTCCCAGCTTTAAAGCTCAAGCTGTATTTACTCTGAAGATCCAGAGAGGTCACTAGGGTGTGTGGGGCAGCCCAGGCAAGACTGAAAGACAGGGAAGAATCCTAGAAAGGAACCCATCCTAGGTGAAGGGAGGACAAAGGTGAGCTCATTGGGCCCAAACTGAGTGGGTGGAGTACTTTTATTCATAGTATGCTAGCCTCTTTGTGCCAGACATATGCTGGGGGCCTGGGGAGAGAAAGTACAAAGCTTCAAAGAGCTATTTCACTAAAATCTCTGTAAGATGCTCAGAACATAAGGCAACTCTTCATTAACCAAATAACAGTGAAAAGCATAAATCTACCCTGCAGTCTCCATTTCCTTACCCCCATTTATTCTTCAAACCACCCCAATCTTCCTGAGTTGATTAGCCAAGTTGTCCCCAGATACTCTCCAGAAAAGACCTTGAAAAAAGTTCAATGATGGCCTCTTACTAGCAAAGTCCAAGGTCTCATCTTACCCGTGTCTCTGGGATATGACAGTGTTCATCATTTCCTCCATGAAATACTCCCCTCTGGACTTGCAGGACACTGTCCTCAGTCTCTCACCATTTCTTCTCCTCCCTCTTGCTGGGTCCTCTGTTGCAGCCCACACTGCACTACCGGGGAGATCTGGAGTCAGCCCTCATAACTGTTCTCTTTTCACTCTATACACTTTAGGATTCTGGGTATCCTGTTTGACAAGTTATACATACTAATAATGGGATAACAATGCATGTTAATTACTTATTTTTAAAAATAGAACATAGTCACATCTATTAATATCTGACTGAATTTGCATTTTGAGACGCCTTCTTGAATTGGAGCATTGTGCCTACATCTAGACACATCCGTCTGCCTTTATAGACACACAGATAATATCATTTGTGTAGGAAAAAAATTGAGAGCTACCTGGCCCATCCATTCCTGGCTAATCTATACTGTCTAAATCCTGGTGACCTTAAAGCTCTATCTCCATCCCAGAACTTTCTCTGGATTTCTAGGCTGACACTTCCAACAGGATCATGATACTTGAATGTCCCTTGGGAATTCAGATTCAAATTCATTATCTTTTCCCTCTGAATGTATTTCTCCTTCTCTGTTCACCAACCCAACTGGAGTTATTCTGGATTTATTCTTTCCCTGTCTACCTCATATGTGACCTCAAAGTCACCTGTATTTCTGTACTATACTTTGTAAAATCCGTCCCTTCCTCTAAATCAGCAGTCTTTGCATTTTAGTGGACAGCAAGGTCTCAGGGAGTGCTTGTTACGAAAGAGATAGCTGGGCCCGACTCCCAGACTTTCTGATTCCGTGTGAATTTGCATTTCTAACAAGTTCCCACCTGATGCTGATGTTGCTGGTTGAAGAGAAAAGGAGGGGCTGTCACACTTTGGGAAGCACTGGCTTAACTATCTACTGTTAGTGGTTTAATTTTTTCTGTGATCCTTTCTCACTTGTCCCAGGTAATGACCTTTTATTCTCCCTGCCCCACCTCATAAAACTCCGACGCATCCTCAACACCAGTGCTGCACAGTAGAACTTTCCTTGATGATGGAAGTGCTCATTCTGCACTGACCAGTACAGTAGCTACCAGCCACGTGCGGTATTGAGCACCTGAAATGTGGCTACTGCACTTGAAGAATTGAACTCTCAATGATTAAATTGCATTTAATTTCACTGTGGCTAGTGGCTACTGTATTGGAGAGCACAACTCTCTACCACTGCAGAGTCTTCCAAGACTAGTCTATTCAAATTTCTTCTGTATTGAAATTTTCTGATGGCTCCACTTTGTCTACAGACTAAAGATGGAGTATAGCATGTTCTATGTTCAACTTTGAAATCAGGTGGATCAAAGTTCAGATCTTGGCTCCAATTCTTAATGGCCATTTTGCTTTAGGCAAGTGAGTTAATCTTTGCTCCTCAGTTTCCTTGTCTGTCAATGTAAATCACTAATCATGCTGATCATAGAAAGTCATCAGTATGTAGAACTCACCAGTTACAATAAGAAGCTGATAATTATTAATAATACTAATTATAGGTATTGTTTCAAACTCTTTGGTAAGATATTTAAGTCCCTTCACAATTGGGGGCTTGCTTTGCTTTTCAGTTTTAATTTTGATATGTCTTGTCTTGTACCTTAACCTCAGGACTCTCTAAATTGTTTGCATTTCCCCCAAATAAGTCTATCTAATTCATGCTTCTGTGCCTTTGGTTGTGTTGGTCCCTTGTTGGTCCACTCTGGTGAACCAACTTTTTAATATTAATCCGAAGGGATTACTTCATCTATGAAATCCTTCTACCTTCCCCTGTCACATCAGGGAAGGCTGACTACATCTTCCTTTATGTCTACAATGCACCATTTCTATCATGGTACCTATCACCTTTTATTGCACTTAGTTGTCCACCCGTATTTCCTCCTCCCAGACTGTGTCCCTAGATGGCAGGGCCATTGTTAATTTTTGAATTCCAGGACCCAACACACCGCAGACTGCAAACACTAGACACCTGCTTGTTGAGTGAATGATTGAGCAAGTTCTATTGAAAGGCACATTTTGGTAGTTTCCTGAGCCACAGAAAACCATTCAAATCTTTCGTCCAAGATTTGTTCCTGATAGCTGTGTGACCTGAGGTCAGCTGGCTGGCTTCCCTGACCCTCCCAGGGGGAGGTTGGGCTGCAGGTGCTCAGATTCAGTGCAGCACTAATACACTCAATCCTCATTG